CTCAGGTGGACACTGTAGACTGGAGCTCTCAGGTGGACACTGTAGCTATGGACTCTGGAGCTGTTCCTGGAGCTCTGTAGTGAGACTCAATGCTTCACTGGCCCTGGAGTAAGTTGTACTGAATCCCTAGATGGCATGGAATCCTAAGGTAGTTTTGGCACTGGACATTTCTGAACTTTTTTTGCCTGGAGGGACATTTTGGATGCCAGATTCTACCATTTTCATTCTTTAAAAAAACAAACAGCAAGGTACCCCCTCCTCCCCCCACGACTCTCGGGCTCCTGCTGGTCACTTCCTCTGGGTGGCCACCCCCAGGTAGGCCCTCTCAACCTCCTCGTCAGCGGGGCACGTGTGGCTGAACTCCTCTCTCTCGGAAGCGTTTTTCAGGTAGCGCCACACGCCCGTGAACTGGCTGGGGATGTCGAAGTCACAGTATTTCTTGGCGGCAATCTGGAAACAAAGCAGAGGGGACTCCAGTCTGGCGTTCTGCCTGTGTGTGAGTGAAACCACATTGTGTGTTTCGAAAGCTCTCAGGGGACTTTTCCTGATTAAACCACCTGCAATTGCAGGAGGCAAACCTGGCAACCCATTTCATTCAATTGCAGGACATCAATTACTTTAATTAATTTGCTTAATTGATCCTCCTGCTCAAGATTTGTTGCACAATCAGCGATCAGTTAACCTAGCACTAAGCTAGAAAGTCCTATTCACCAGAGACACAAATTTTCTCCATACATTGTTAGAGGAGTATATCTTCAAAATGAATGTGTTTTATGCATCTTAAATTCTCACGTGTCGCATGTAGTACCTGATAACGCACTGCCATGTGAGTGAAGTGCCAGAGAGGTCTCACCTTGATGATGTGTAACTTGGGCAGCAGGTTGCAGTCGGCCAAGGTGAGCTGGTCGCCATCCAGGAACTTCCTGTTGGAGACGAGGAGATCCTCTGTGCTGTTGGGGTCAATCTCCTCGGGGAGCGGAGTGTTCAGGTAGTCGTCCAGGCGCTTGAACTCTTTCAGCAGGGCCTTCTCAAGATCTGAGGAATGAGAGACAAACATGCTCGTCTCTCCAGGACAGCCTTTTAGGTGTTTCATCATCTTGGGCAGCTGCATAAGCACGTGGGTGAGGAGCAGGTATGGAAACCTGCTTTGCTAGGGTGTGCAGGGCTGGCTGAAGCATGGAGGGCCATGCTGCTCATCTCCTACTCACTCTTGTTGGCCGGGCTGTTCTTAATGAAAGCAGAGAACTTGGCGAAGATGTCGCTGCCCACGTCAAAGGACTCCTTGTTCAGCGGGCTGAGCCGAGGGTACCTGGGGGAGACGAGGGAAGTGGGAGCTGACTGAGGCACACACGGACACTGAGGACAACTTTCAACTGAAAGAAGAGCGCGAGGGCCAGACGCCAGTAAGCGAGGTCCAGCTGTACTCAGGCTCTGCGTGTTCCTTTCGTTTTCTCCCGCCCTACCTGGGGGGAGCCAGCGTCTGCTCCAGGAACTCCTCGATCTTGAGGAAGTCTGTCTTGAGCTCCCCGTTGAACAGGAGGAAAGGAGGGTTGGTCCCCGGCGCCAGGTCCTTCAGCTCCTCGGGCTTCCTGGAGATCAGAAAGAGCAGCGCTGCCTATCACACAGAGTGGCCATGGAAACCCGGCTTGTCTGTGGCCATCAACAGTCCCGGCGTTTATGTAAGAACACAGAGTCTCTTGTTGGCTTATTTCTATCATCAAAGTACCAAAACTGAAGTTTTAATTGTGTCATGGAGAGTTTCAAAAACTCTGTATTACTCGCAGGGGCGGGCCTTTGCTTCACAGGCTAATTTTTAAAATGGAATTTCCTTTTTTTTCCGTTAATGTGATTGTCCTGTTTTTGAACAACAGGTGTTGCTATTCACAACGAGAAACACTAGCGTGAAGTATTGACATGAGCTGCGGTCTTCATTTCTGAACGTGCTGTTTTCTGCTTTAAGATTGTGTTTCGGTATCCTGGGACCTCTGTGAATTCCCCTGGAGTTCCATTCAGTTTTACTTTTGATTCTCGCATTCGAGCTGTGCTTGCACAGGAGCACGAAACCCCCAATCTGTTCCCTGTTATTTAAAGTGTTCTGGAGGCCGAGCCCCTGCACAGGGGCTGTCAATTCGCTCTAAGCTCAGAGAAGAGAGAAATCCAGCAGGAGCGGAGCTGGTGTACTGACGCAGTGTTCTGCGGCCACACTCACTTTTTCATGTCCACAGTGGTCACAGTGAACTTGACCCCCTTCAGCCACAAGACCATGAAGAGCCGCTGACAGAAAGGGCAGTTGCCCACATTCTCCCCGTCCAGACCAGCCTACAGGAACAACCATGCGTTAGATTCCAGCCGGTAGCTCGACCACTACCTGGTGACACTTCTTTGTTCATACTTTGCTCTGTAATCGATGGCAACAAGGGACTCTACTCCACCTGCAGCTCTAAAGACGACTATAGCAGCTGCAGACACTCCGCCATTTGTTTCATCTGAAAAAAAAATATAGCAGAAGCAAACTACCCTGACAAGTAGGATTTATTTTTAGGATAGCAAAACCAAAGTTATTAATTAATTCACAAAGGAAAGCAGAGAAGCAGAGAATGGCTGGCAATAGAGTTGACAGGTAACAGACAAGAAAGTCATGGTCCCTAGGCCATGCACATTATTTCTGCATGTTTGTATTCACTGGTCATTTGATAACAGCTCTCTTAAAAGCCCACAGTACATGGTTTCCCCCAGCCTACACAGAAGCCCTGTTGACCCAGTGTGCGTGAAGGCAGTCCTGGGGAAAGTGTCGGGTCACGCTGGTGTGTCAGTTTGCTCCTAGGAACACCTCCTCTGAAGAGGCAGCCAAGCGAGCAGCTGGTCTGAGCCGGGGCTGTGGCAGATCAGGAGCGTGCAGGCTGCCTGTGTGGCGATAAGGTACTGCTGGGGATGAAGGCTCCCGTACTCAGCCTGTCTGTGTTGATAAAGAGCGAGGGCCCGGCTCACTGACGCAGGCACGGCCAACACGACGAGCGGCGCTTCCCTCTGGGAGCTGAACATGCAGGTCTGGCTGTTTGGCTGTGTTCAGAGGCTCTCACACTAATGGATTATCACCAGCAGATATACGACAAGAGTCAAATTAAAAAATAAAACACTTGTTGAATTTCCACACCATGAACACCATAGAAATGTATCCTTGTAAAAAAAAACAAATCCCCAGTTCGCATCCACACCCCCCTCAGAGGTAATAGTAAAGTTTTAGCTACAACCCAAACTTTGAACACACTCTCAACACATTTTCCTAAGTACTTTTATTCGACGTCTTCTTCTTATGCAGAGGAAACAAGGATTTTTGACACAATGCCCTTCAAAGCTTCCTGCAGCAGCTACACATCTGGGACGTGTTCTCATTCCAAATACAATCCAGCTAATTTTCAGAATCATGTTTATGTGAAAGAAGTGTTATTTGTTTCTTTCCTGAAGGAACACGGTTTTAATTATTGCTTTAAGCTTGCGCAATTCTAGAGTTTAAGAACATCGTCAGCTCTCAAGTGTTGTGGGAGTCTGGAACAAACCACCCAGACATGTTGTTAAAACCGATACCCAGACGTCTGTCAAGAAACAGCTGGATGAGATCCTCCTCAAGGATTAATTAACTGCCAGTTTATGTTTGCATACATTCTTATATTCTTACAGCAGTGCGTTTTACCCTACCAAACAAATTCTCTTAGGACATGGACAGCAGTTCCTACCTTCAAAAGAAAATAACAGAACATAAAAATGAAAAATAGAAAGAAAGGGCTAACCTTTATGAAGAGCTCAATGTTGGGTTCTTTGCTGGATCTCCTGAGAGCCATGTTGTTCTGCAGTTATACTGTTTTTCCAGTGATTCCTGGCTTATCTGACAGTGTTATTCCACACTCAGGGGCTGCATTTAACTGTGCGCTGGACCCACCTCTCAGAACACTAAAGTAAGAGAGCGAGGGAGGGAAGGAGGCTGTTCCAGGAAGCGATGTGACTCCCCTCCGCTGGTGTGCAGTCAGACTCCTGCTGGTCCTCCAAGTCATCGTCTGGGAGAGCTCTTGGTGAAACAGCCGCTAGGGGTGGGCCCATCAGAGGGGTGTGGGGTCTGAACAGACAGAGCGCCAACCGGAAACAAGAAACTCCCCCTGAGGAAAGGTCCCTCGAGTGTGCCGAGCCTTTTGAGAGAGATCGTTACGATAATATGGAAAAAGGCTGTTGTAATTCTGACATGGTGACAACAGGCGACACAAAAGAATTATTAGGAATTCACGAAAGGGCCCGCAGCCTTTTTGATTAAGCACAGTAACCACAGCTGCAGCTCTTCACCTGACTTCTGATTTTTTTTAAAAAGGAACAAACACAAAGTATGTCTATGTCTCCTCTTTGGTTCTGGAGATTAAATTAAGAGACGCTGCTTTCACTTCCGCTCCTGCTGATGTGGTCTAGAAATGAATATGTTACAATGTGCGCACGTTTCATCATTTTCTGATGCTGTTCTGAAAAACAAAACGACTTTCTGGATAATAAATTGCACAAGCTGTAAAATGGCAGTCATAAACATTATGTAGAAAAAAATAGCTTTCTTTTGTTGGTAATATCATAGAATAGTTGTTGAATTATGAATATTAACCAATGGATGTTACTTCATGGTTGAATTACAGTCCTCTTTTATAATTTGAATTATTCAAATTAAAAAAATTCAAATTCAAATTCAAAAGTGGCTTTTTCACTTCTTTTAGTACAATATGCAAAATGTTCTATTTGTAATATATATACTGTATAAGGAGGAACAATTCAACACATTTTGCTGCAGAACTGTTACTATTTTGTGTCTCCTTATTTGTTTTGGTAAGTTGAAATGCCCCATGCAGTAGTAATTTAAAATTCATACTATATTTTGTGATGGCAAAATACAACAACAAAAAACCAACTTAACAATACACTTGCACCTGAATTAGCGGTGCTCATGAATAATTACAGAGTGGCATGAAAGAGTTATGCACCAGCCCCCATGACTCAGTACCGTCTGTACTGCTCTCTTCCTCCTGTATGAATTCACTGGGCGGTCCAGGATACCTGCCGAGCAGAGAGAAGAAGCAGCCCAGCTCTGTCTGTGCGTGTGAGGAGGCGTCAGAGCAGAGACTGGTGGAGCAGGGTCTTGCATTAGCAATGTGGGAGATTTCTGATGTGGCAGGAAGCATCCCTGGATCTCAGAGCATGGATATCCTGAGCAGGGGCACGAAGGAGCTTTGGGCTGGCCTTCACATCAGTCAGCCATTAGTCCGCTGGCGGTAAATAGTAGAAACTCTCACTTCTGGAGTGGGGAAGTCCTTTGTTTGTGTGGGGAAGTGCCTCTTTCGATATGACTTGGTGGACGCAGTGGTCCACATCCATGCCTGCAGGTCTGCTGTGTCTGCAGGCTTTCATTCCTTCTTAACCAACCCAGAGACTTACTTATAGAGTGGTGCAGCTTAACAGATCTAAAGACACTCAAAAAAAAACTGCCGGCCTGCAGCTCCGAGTCTGGCACTGCTGGTATGGAGTATGTAGAGCATCAATTCAGTACAGGTGCCATACACCTGAAGACAGACGATTATTGATATCAGGATTAATTACTTCCACATGTGTGTATATTTTAATGAGGAAGCCAGTTTCTATATTGTACCTTATACCTTGATTTCTCAATAAGGTGTGCTGGATTAATGGTTAGAGCTGGTGAGACGAAGGGGGTAGTAGATATGTGCCCCCTTCTCATTACCGTGATCAACTTCTCTCAGCGTGAATCGGAATGCAGACCCCTCTAGTGAAGCACAAAGAATTAGTACAGAGGAACACAATCAGTGAAGCAGGCCGGTGAAAAGTTTCTGTTTTGTTTTAATGGGTGGTTTTGAGGGGATTTCATAACTGCTGCTGGGGAATTTGATTTGGTTTCAGAAATGATGACATTGTGTATCGGAGTGAAAAATGCAGGTTTTACTTAACTAGTTTCAGCAGTAATGGACAGATCACGTAGCACGGTATGCTTAGATTTTCAGAAGGCTCCTGATAAAAGTTCCCCATCAAATATTAATTCTCACATTGCAGGCAATAGGCATTCCTGGTAATACACACATATTCAATATTATGAAGTGGTTCATAGACAGGAAACAGAGGGCACATACAGTATAAGAGGTGAATACTCAAATTGGGTGAGATAAACTAGTGTTCTGCAAACAAGTCATGCCTGCAGATCATACCAAACTCCTCGGATTAGAACACTCCTAGGATACGTTATCAACCAGCAATAATTGCACCTGAAATGGACCTCTTGGGCAATGATATTGC